AGCCGGAGCCCGCGCCGGGCCCGGCTCTCAGTCCCGCCGGCGTGCGCGGTGGCGCCCCGCGTCCCAGCCACCTCCTGGGCCTCCCGCTGGGAGCTCACGGCCTCGTGGGGTCCCCGGAGCGCGCGGCCGCTTCCTCGCCGGTCACCACCCTGACCCAGACCATGCACGACCTCGCCGGGCTCGGCAGGTAGGGCGCCCCGCCGACGCTGGGTGTGGGGTGAGAGGCTCGTACTAGGGTGTTGGTCCCGGGCCTCCCGTGGAACCCGGCGTGGGAGCCGAATCTGAGAAGCGGAGTGGGGAGGTGTCCTGGGTAGTGCCTGCTTCAGGGACCCGGGACTAGGGCGGTGAGACCGGGTCTGTGCAGCGCACACCCTCCAGGTGACTTGCTCTTGGCAGCACAAACCTCTGGAGACACCGGTCCTACCCGCCGCCCCCCCCGTGTGCCTCCACCATGCTGTCTCCCTAATCCCTGCCCTAATCACCACTATTTTGCCCCAGGCAAGGGATTCTGAGCCTGGAGTGGGAACTTGAGGGTGGCAGAGAAGCCTGGTTCTCTTCTGTCCGGGCCCCTGCTCCCTCCACCCCCAGTTCTTTCCTGAGGTTAAGGGGTTAAACCCTGGTCCTGCTTCCTGAGCAACCTGCAGTGTCCAGGCTGGGTCGCCCTCAGCAGCAATGGAGACCTAAGTCTTGCCCTTGCTCCAGAAAGGCTTGTGGATGGGTAGGGGTCTGAAGAGTTCCGGGGAAGGCCCTCCAGGGCTACTCTGCTGCCCTGCCATCCCCCAGAATGGCCCTCAACCCACCTCCTTGCTCTTGCCCTGGGCTCACCTCCCCCTGAACCCAGGAGGACCTTTCTTAATCAACAAAGAAAAGCTACTTAGAATCCCTGCAGAAGACCCATGAAGAGGGCAGGCTCTCAGGGCCATCACCTCCCTGGGACAGGGATGGGCCCTTCAGAGGTGGGTGGCTGGTGGGAACATGGGCCAGCTAGCCCTTGAGCCCCACATTTACCTTTCTCCTTCCCTGCGTCCCTGTTGCCTTCCCAGTGAGACTCCAAAGCGTCAGGTAGGCAGCCCGCTCACATGCCTATCCCTGTCCCGGCGGCGGGCATCTGAATCCTCCCTGTCGTCTGAATCCTCTGAATCTTCTGATGCAGGTGAGGCTCAGGAGTACCAGGGGACTTGGGGTGGGGGGCGCTGCCTGAGTCTCTCCACTTCCCTGCTGATCAGACTAACATTTTTCCCACAACCTGGTGGGCCCAGGACCCTCCACCTGCCCACCTCTGGTGGGGCTCCCCACACCCAGCCCAGACTGGCTGAGCGGGGCGGTAGGGCGGGGCCCTCGTGGGGAGATGAGATCTTACCTATTTAAAACCAGGCACCAAAGTCCCTGAACCACAGCCCCAGCTGGGAGGCATTAGGGCTGAAAGTTGGTCATTTTATAACATTCACTTGCCTTCAGCTGTAACCTTTTCCTTTAAAAAGCTGTTATCTCTTCTAGAACAAATTACTTAAACCAGCTTAAGAAAAATGCTTAGCAAAGTTTTGGTTTAAAACCTATACAGAGGGGGGCGCCTGGGTGGCTCAGTCGTTAAGCGTTTGCCTTCAGCTCAGGTCATGATCCCAGGGTCCCGCTCTGCGGGAAGCCTGCCTCTCCCTCTCCCACTCCCCCTGCTTGTGTTCCCTCTCTCGCTGTGTCTCTCTCTGTCAAATAAAAAAAATCTTAAAAAAAAAAAAAAAAACCTATACAGAGGAGGGGCACCTGGGTGGCTCAATGGGTTAAGCGTCTGCCTTTGGCTCAGGTCATGATCCCGGGGTCCTGGGATTGAGCCCCACGTCGGGCTCTCTTCACCCTCTCCCTCTGTGCTCTTTCTCTCCCTCTCAAATAAATAAAATATTTAAAAAAATAAAACCTATACAGAGGAGTTTCCATAGTAAACAGGGAGTGGGGCCCTGCCCAATTTCTGGGCCAGTGTGTTAGCCCTTGGGGTTCAGGGGCAGGTTTTTGTTTCATTTTTTTAATGTATCAAGATCTAAAGTAGAAACAGGTTTTTCCTTTCTCTGAATAGAGTTGCGACATGGTGGGGGAATGTGTACAGAAGATGCCACTACTTTCAAACCAAGGTGCTCTGTCCCCCCAGGTCTGTGTATGGATTCTCCCAGCCCCATGGACCCCCAAATGGCAGAGCAGACGTGAGTAGAGAAAAGGGATCCCCACTACCAAGGAGTTGGTGCCTGCCTTTGGGAATCCTAGTTCCAGCATAAACCCACTGGGTCTGGGAGAGTGGACACACCCCTCCAATCCACATGTGGGGGGGACCCACTGACCTCCCAAGTCCTGAGATTCTGCTTCCTGTCTCAGAGAAGGGTCTGCTCCTACAGGAGCAGCTGAGTGTGGGCTCAGGGCCAGGTGGGGGGGAATAGTGGGTACTTCAGCCAGCCCTTGGCCTGTGGGAATACAGGTCTGGTGTGTGTCCCTTTTTACTTTTGCCTATACACTTTTTTTTTTTCCTATGAGATCTTACAATTTTAAAATATGGTCCAACTAATTCAAAACATTTAATTCATTTAATTTAACCTGCCACAACTGTTTTGTTTAGGCCAAACAAAACAGTTGTGGCAGGTTGGTTCAACCCTTGACCATCCTATCAGCAACCTCTGGCTTCAGTGACGCTTTCTGGCCAACCCCTGGACCAGGCCCTTTCTGAGAGAGAGTGGAGAGGGCATTGTGCTCAGGACAGATCCTTCTCCCTTGGTGGTGGGGCATGAGTAGTATCTTCTAGAGCACAGCGGTCCCTATCCAGCGGTTAGAGCCCCAGCAGGGAGAGCAGCTGCTAGGCATTAGTGGGGACAGCTGGGCATCCCCAAACTGGGCTGAGGGACTATGGCTTTGGGGTTAGGGCAGTGGCTGTCTTTCCTCCCACTGCCTTTGATCAGACTGGGCTGGGCTTCAGGGTTTGTTCACAAACAGGAAACAGGGAGAGAACTGGGTGGGGGTGGGGGGATTGCAGGTTGGTTTTTGGTGACAACCCAGAACTGTCCCTGCTTTACTCCTGAGGCGCAGGTGCAGATGGGAAACCAGGCCAATAAAAGTCATCATTCCCGATGCCAGGTTGTCTGGGCACAGCCCCTCCCCACCGTTGGGAGTCGTCCCCCTGACACTAGCCCTCAGTGCCCCCCCCCACCTCTGCACCTGCTTTGACGGTTACAGTTTCTCAGAAGTGTGTGTGTGTGTGTGTGTGTACGCGTGTGCACGCTCGCGCCTGGGCTCACATAGACACACAAAAGCCCTGCGTGGCAGGTGGTCTCTGGTAACATAGCTAGGGGGTGGGGCCTATCTACAGAAGCTTGTGCCCTGGCCTCAAAAGGAACATCTGTTGGAATTCTTTGCCTGCTGGCCTCTTCTAAGGCAGGAGAAGGGGGTGGGACAGAGGCTGGGTCCTAGAAAATTCCATAGGAGGGAGGAGAGGATGTGACCCTGAACATTTGTCACTAGGGGGTCTGGCATGGCACACTGTGGCTGATCTGGGGCACTCTAAACCAGGCCCCTGTCCTGGGGGGAGCCAGGACAGCCCCACACAAGGGGAGGGAAGCCCAGTCTTGCGGGCATCCAGGCCCTGGAGATACCCACATTGTCGGCCACGGTCTGTCATCATGGGACGGATGGATGCCTTTCCTGGCGGCCATATGGCCCCGCTGAGGTGATTTGCATACAGGTGGAAGGCCTGTGGGTAAGCTGGCAAGACCGTTGCCTTGGTAGCGCCTTGGCCACCCTGTGACCTGCCCCAGCTGTCTCCGTTGCTCCATTCTCTGGGCCCTCTTCCATTCAGGGCAGCCTTCAAAATCCCAGGCTGCTGCTTCTCTCCCCCCTCCCCAATACCTGGGCCCCTGAGAGTCAGCATTCTTCCCTCCCCTTTCTGCTGGCCTGAGCCCTGGCCCCCAGGCCTTGTGGACTTGGGGCCTGATGCTGGGGGTGGGCACTGGGCTGTAGGGGGAGGTGGGCTGCATGGGACTTTTCTCTTTCCCAGGTTTGAGCAGACCATCCAAGCAGCCAGCCGGGTCATCCGAAAGTAAGTGCTCCCGCCTTCCTCCTGCGGGCTCTGGTGGTCCACCTATCCCAGGCTCTCCCCATGCCCCCGTTGGATGGAGGAGGCATGGGGAGGGTGCTCTCCACTGCCTCCCACAGGGATGCGCAGGGCTCTGTGGTGAAGGGGCATCCTGCGTGCTGTCCTGCACAGCCCCCTACTCTCCAGCCCTGACCTCTCCCTGTTTTCTCCTGCAGCGAGCAGTTTACCATTCGACGTTTCCAGTCCTTGCCGGTGAGTGCCCTCTGAGGCCTGACACTGGAGGCTCAGGCCCTGGCCAGGCTTGAGGAGGGGCAGGAGGGATCCGGGGTCACCTCCCAGAGGGCAGACTTGAAACGGTCTGGTGTCCCTGGTCTGGCTGTGGGAGATGGGGTTTTGGAGGTGGATGGGCAAGCTGGGGGAGTCAGAGGAGGGACGGGAGAAGGTAGGGCCAGGGCTGGTGCCAGAGGAATGGAGCCTTCAGTTCCTGCTGCCCTGCCTGGCTCTCTAGGTGAGGCTTCTGGGCCACAGCCCTGTGCTACGGAACATCACCAACTCCCAAGCACCTGGCAGCTGGAGGAAGAGTGAGGCGTGTGGCCGAGCTGCCCACAGCTCTGGGGAGGACAAAGAGAATGTGCGCTTCCAGAAGGCTGGAGTGGGAGCACTTCAGGGAGAGAAGGAAGGGGGTGCGCTGGGATGGTTCTCTGGCATTTGATGACACCCACCCATGTTGCCCACAGGATGGATTTGTCTTCAAGATGCCATGGAAACCCCCGCATCCCAGCCATGCCCGTGCTTTGGCAGAGTGGGCCAACCGCAGAGAAGCCTTTGCCCAGAGACCAAACTCCGCTCCCGACCTGATGGTACATTGGGAGAGTGGAACCCAATGTAGGGTGGGTGTAGGGTGGGTGCCCCTGAAAAAACCCCGGGGGGGGGAGGGGGAGGGGGATCCTGAACCCTGAGGCAGTAGGAACCTTTTCTCAGAAGGATGGGGGTGAGGGCTGCCTCGGATCCCCACCCCTGAGTGGCCTGTGTCTGTCCCCTGCACAGTGTCTCACCCCTGAGCGCAAGATGGAAGTAGAGGAGCTGAGTCCCCCAGCCCGATGCCGCTTCTATCTGACTGCCACCCAGGGGGCCTCTGAAGAAGATGATGGATTTGTGGACATCCTGGAGAGTGACTTAAAGGTAACCAGTCTTGCCCCACCAGGCCATCGACCTCACTTTCCCTGGGATCTCCCCCAAAGAGGAAAGCCCTGACCTCCCACCCCGAGACTGTGGCTTCATTCCGATGTCAGAAGAGGAATCAGAGCTAATGGAGTCACGGCGTGGCCTCTGGCCTACCAGAGACTAGCAGGTGGCTGGTGCTGCAGTGAGGGAGGGTGCTGCAGGGTAGAGGCGAGTCCAACCCTCCCGCGGGGCCACAGGTCTCAGCAAGTGGGGCCCTGCAGTTTCCTGGTTCTGGGGGACTGCCCTGTGTGGGTGTGCAGGCACGGCCAAGGAGGGCCATGCTGGAGGACCTGGGGCCTGAGGGGCTGGACTTTGCCCGCGGGTGTGACCGTACCCTTGCTGATTTGGCTTCAGGACGACAACGCGGTACCCCCAGGCATGGAGAGCCTCATTAGCGCCCCACTGGTCAAGACCTCAGAAAAGGAGGAAGAGCAGGTGGGTCTCTAGGGGGGCCGCCCCAGAGCTTGGGGGGGCTGCTAGGGGGCAGGGGCGGGGTACTCTGACCCCCGACCTGCCACCCCTGCCAGGACCTCATCATGTACAGCAAGTGCCAGAGGCTCTTCCGCTCTCCGTCCATGCCCTGCAGCGTGATCCGACCCATCCTCAAGAGGCTGGAGCGGCCCCACGACAGGGACCTGCCCATACAGAACAAACGGAGAAGGAGTGTGACCCCTCCAGAGGAGCAACGGCAGGCCGAAGAACCTGTGGGTGCCCCCCTGGGGTGGGGCCGGGCAGCCACTGTCCAAGTCGACCCTGCCAGCCCTTGTTGGCCGGGTTTGTGGCAGAGGGCAAGGTGCAGGGAAAGAGGTGCCAGCCCCACGGGACGCTGAGGGGCAGCCTGGCCCCTGATCCTGGCCACGATCTACCCTGCAGAAAGCCCGTGTCCTCCGCTCCAAGTCCTTGTGTCACGAGGAGATTGAGACTATCCTGGACAGTGACCACCGGGAACTGATTGGGGATTACTCCAAGGTACCAGCAGTGGACCCTTGGGAGGCTCGACCCTTTACTGTGTGGCCCCCTGAGCTCAGCAGCTGCCTTGGTACCTCCTCCCCCCTGCCCCGCCCCCGGCTTTGTCCTTCACAGCTTATTCTTTATTCTCACCTAGACTCCTCTCTCCAGCTCTCCTTGGTCTCCTGACTCTACCCCAGATCTGTCTGGGGCATCAGTTGTGTTTCAACCTTGGAAAACCTTTCCAAACTAACGTTGTAGCTTGGAGCCTCCTCGGGTCTCATCCGGGCGGCTTGGCAGAGTGTGGCGGCAGGTGAACTCTTCTGTTCCCTTCTTCCCATCCAGGGGTTGTTCCCTGGATGTCAGACCCAAGAGGCGCCTCTTGGTTGCTATGGGAACCAGAGCTGAATTTGAAGGTCAAAGCAGGTGTGGCATTCTGGGCTTGGGAAAGAAACTCCATCCTTCCCAGGCTCCGAGTCTTGCCAATTTCACCTTTTTTCTCCTTTCTCTCTCTTTCTCTCTCTCTCCCTTCTCCCTTTCTCAATCTCTCTCTCCCCCTTTCCCTTCAGGCCTTCCTTCTGCAGACTGTGGATGGGAAGCACCAAGATCTCAAGTACATCTCACCAGAAACGGTACTTGGGGATGAGCCATTCTCCAGGCACACCTGGGATGGCTGTTTGCCTGTTCACCTTCCTTGGGGATGGGCTGCAAGGCCAGACCGGTGGTAGAGTTGGGGTCAGCCCCCTCCTGCCAGCCTGACCTGCTGGGACCCACCTCTGTGGCCCACAGATGGCAGCCTTACTGGCAGGCAAGTTCAGCAACATCGTGGAGAGGTTTGTGATTGTGGACTGCAGGTACCCCTACGAGTATGAAGGCGGGCACATCAAGGTGAGGCGGGCTGATGGGGACAGGCCCTGAAGACCCACCAGTTCTGTCCTTCTGCGGTGGGGGCGGTGAATCCGTGGAGGGTGGCTGCACCCTCTATGGGGGAAGGATCCTGTCCAGTAAGAGGTGGAATCACACGTCTGAAAGGTGGGGATGGCATGGGGAGGGATAAGCCACCCAGCCCCAGGGCCGTGGCCTGACCTCCAGCTCCCCTGGCAGACTGCTGTGAACCTGCCCCTGGAACGGGATGCTGAGACCTTCCTGCTACAGAGCCCCATCACACCCTGTAATCTGGACAAGAGAATCATCCTCATTTTCCACTGTGAATTCTCATCTGAGCGCGGTCCCCGCATGTGAGTCAGCTAGCTAATGTCTGCTCCTGACCTTCCTGCCCAGGCTTTGGGGTACTGGAATCATCTGATGCCCAAGAGGCTTGAGCCCAACCCCAGTCCCCACTAGATCTGGGCCTCTAGTCTCCTGGCATCTGGAGCAGACCTCACCCTCCCTTCCTGTGCATGGCACCCTCTTCCCACCTCTTCCCCATCCTTCCCATCAGGCCTTATGTCCACCCTCCATCCATTGTCACCACCCCTTCCCCTCAAGATCTGGTTCCAGGTCTCCAGCAGTGTCCTTAATATCCAAGGGCCCTGTCCCAGGCCTCAGTGATGCTCAGCCTTCCAGGGTCTGACTGATCTTTCCGTTCCCCACCTCTCATGCTCACCAAGTCTTCTCCAGACCTCCTGAACAGATCTCTCAAATTTTGTCCACTTCTGTCCTTTATGCTTCCCCCTTTGCTGTCCAGGTCAGTTATCTCTAACAAAGATTGTGAACTGCCTTATAGAAACAACTGCCTTGATTTACCTCCTTCCTTCCATCTCTCCAACCTCCTCTGGATCCGGTAGCCAGATGATCTAAAAGCATTCTTATGGCTGACACTGCTGCATTCAAGCCTTCTGTAGCTCTCCAAGGCCCACAAAAGAGGGGGTGCAAAGAACAGGTCCCCTGAGGCATATCCTGCAACACCTCCCAGCTCTGACCCCCACACCCCTGCTGGTCCCAGGTGTCGTTTCATCAGGGAGCGTGACAGAGCCGCCAACGACTACCCCAGCCTCTACTATCCTGAGATGTACATCCTCAAGGGCGGCTACAAGGAGTTCTTCCCGCAGCACCCGGTACCATGGGTCGGGGTGGCTGAAGCCTTCGTGGGGGGGCTGGACTGCAGGGAAAGGGCTCGGCCAGTGGGTAGCCCAAGGAGAAGGGAGGTTTCCTCTAAAAGTTCCCATTCCCCCATACTGACTGACCCGCCCATCCTGCCCTAGACTTTCTGTGAGCCCCAGGACTACCGGCCCATGAACCACGAAGCCTTCAGGGATGAGCTGAAGACCTTCCGCCTCAAGACCCGCAGCTGGGCTGGGGAGCGGAGCCGGCGGGAGCTCTGTAGCCGCCTGCAGGACCAGTGAAGGGCCAGCACCGGTCCTGCCTACCTTCTTGGCCTCACTGCCTGGGTGCCAGCCACCCGGGCGCCTGCAGGGCTGAGGGTCTGCTGGAGGCCCCAGCTGCCATCCAGGGGAAGGACAGTGAGGGTGTCCTGTGCATACGCCCCCAGCCCCGATCCCCATGTCTCACTGCGATCATACTCCATATCCTCGTGCCACCCCCAACCCCAGCCCAGCCCCTGGGAGAGCCCAGCCTGTTGACTTGGTGAAACTGGATTAAGTCCAGCTCAAAGGAAGTATTTTGTGTCCAGCAGGAACCTTTTTGCTTTTTTTCCTTCCTTGTTTGAGTTAACCCTTTGTCTTGTGTCCAGAAAAGCCCCCCCTCTTTCCTAGGCACTCTGTAAGCGGCTGGGGGAAAGTCCACAGTGCCCCCCCCCCACCCCGGGATGGGCCAAAGCAGAACCTCTCCCTGCCCAGGGCGTTGGCACTCTTGGGTGTGTCTGCCATGTTCCCTTTCTCTTCCTCTCTTTCCTGTCCTTCCACGTGAACACCTCTAGCACAAACAGAAGCTCTCACTCTTTCCTGTTTCAGTGTTACCTACATGCTTGATTCATTCGTCTGATTTGTTGCCCATCTCAGGGTATGCACAGGCTGAGATTTAGGCTCCTCTCTCCACTTGGGGTTAGAGACTCCAAACATTAATTAGCCACTCAACCCTGGCTTCTGGTGCATCAGAAAGGGATGACCTCCTTGGGGGCCTGTTGGGCGAGGGCTAAGGTCTGCATCCTCAGCGCCTGGCAGCCCAGCCCCCACTGCTGTGAACTCCGGGGTCTGACTGGTCAGAACTTGCTGCTCTCTTGTTGTGGATGGACAGATGGACGGATGGATGGATGGTGGATGGATGGAGAGCCACGGATGCCCAGTGTCCTGCACACACAAACTGCTGAGTGGAAGCATTTCAGTGAGCATGACCATCTGCAGCAAGGATATATGTGTGTCTGTGTCTGTGTGGACAAAATCTTTACACATTAAGGTTTGGAAATATTCAAGATGAAATGTCATGGAAGCAGTGAAGCCAAGGACAGAGCCACGTCTGGATTCTGAATCTCAGGACGTGTGGAGGGCTGTGCTTGAAGGCCCTGTTGACTCATCTGTTCAGGCCTTGGTTCAATAAAGCACTGAGCAAGCTGAGTAACCAGCATCGTGTCCTGTGGGCCTTTGACAAACCTTGGCAGACCCTGATGGTGGGATAGGGTGAGGACAGGTCAGCAGATGGGGGCCAGAAGACTCCTGTGGAGGTAGCCTCACATTTTCTTCCCCAAGGCAGCCTCACTTATCCTTCATGTAGCTACTCCAGCACCTCTGAACTCACCCTTCCTAAACTGCACCAGGAAAGCTAAAGTGACCCTGTCACTGCTCAAGAATTGTCAGTAGCTCCCCACTGCCCGCAGGGTAAACTAAGAAGACTCTTGGCATGACCCTCCCCAGCCCCACTCCTCACCTCTTTTGACTCAAATCCCCATACCTTGTTCTTCACATTTCCTTCCTTTGCATCTGTTGCATTATCAGGAATGTTCTTGCCCATCTGTTACTCCTCCTTTGAGACTCAATTTCAAATGTCACCTCCTCCTAGAAGCCTTCCTTCCTGCCCCATCAGAGAAATGACTTTCCTCCATATCCCCAGCACCCAGCAGAGGTTCCACCACCTAGGAGATGCCAAGTTCAAGATGAAGAGAGTGGAAAAGGGCCAATCTGGGAGACCTGGTCCCAGGGCCAAACCTGGTATCTCAGGAAATTCCCTCAGAATACCACTGCAGGGGACCCCGGCCCCTGAATGCGAGTCTGTGATTGTAGGGCTTCCTTTGCCCATGTACAAATAGGTACTGTCTGATACAGAGTGCATACAATCTGTCAGTCATCATTACCACTTTCTGCCAAAGTTCATCTACCTTCTGAACTAAGCAGTGCCAGTGATTATTCACTCCATTTTGCAGATGGGAAAATGGAGGCGATTTCCTACCAGAGCAACAAGGGACTCCAGATTCCTAGGCTGAGTCTAAATGATGCTTGCCCTGTCTCCAGCTTTTCCCCCAAGATTCTTATGCCCAAAGGCTGGGGCTTCCCCCGCCC